AATGCCCCTATGTCTGAACTGGCTGAGAACTTATAGAAGGTTTGAACCCCAGATTTCTGTGACCACCTTCAACAACGTTTAGTTTGAAAGTAAGACAGTGTTTTATATGGGGGGAAAAAATCATATTGCTCTTAATATACAGAATAACTTAGAACTGAAAAGAATAAATAGAAAATTGTTTGCCTATCCGTTGAAATTCTTACTGTAACAGCTTTTTGCCAGTACTTCCCCCCCGCCCCCAATGAACTTTTTTGAAAGCATTTTCAAGTCGGTCACTCTTGGCATCTGTTTCCAGGTCAGTGAATAAGGCTTACCACCTGTAGGTTTGGCTTTATGGTAATTCTGCATTAGTAGTTAGTCTCAATTGAGTGGCCTTAGAAGAAATTGAATTTTTATGCGAGTTGTTCATACAGGTTACAGTTGGGTGGAGGGGTAGAAGAAGAATGCATTGAAGCAGTAGAAGGATTTTCATTTCATTTTATCATCAGGTGGGGGAAAACCACCACTGATACTGTAAACCTGATTTGAGAGCTAGGGAAAGCTGTTGCGTACATCGCAGTCATTTTGGACAGATGCGTGCTGGTCTCCCTGTTCGTGCCATGAGTGAAGCAGCTATCACAGTGACGGCACAGCAGCGTGCAGGACCTAAATACTGTCTCTCTCACGGTCAGGTAGGATGGATTCCTCAGGGTGAGGCTATAAAGGCAAGACTTGCTTGTTGGTTTCTTACATCTCATGCAAGACGCAACATACGCATCTGTGACTTCAGGAAAGAAAATGCTTTCTGCCTCGTGTCTCTGGTTTGGATTTTCTTCTAAAATTAGGCACTTAAATAAGCAAGAGATATTAAAGCAACTTCCTGAGAATTTATTTAGAGTATTTTAATTTTTATTAATTTTTTTTATGCTATTGTATGCATTAAAAAAAGCTGTCTTGCACTGGGGAGGGTTACTGGCTTTGGCGTGCCCGGCGCTCTGTGTGCAGGTCACGAGTTCCGTTTCAGGTAAGTGGGTGCCAGCTTTCTGTCAGCAAGCTGTTCGTTTAGCAGAAGGCCTTGTGTATCCAACATAGCATATTAGAAATGCAGCAGGACAGTAATAATTAGGTGCAGGTGCATATGCAAACCATCGTAGCTTTTTCTGACCTGCAGTCCTTCTGGAGAAGGAAAACAAAAAGGAGAGAAAAAAGGTTCATAACTGTCTTGGCTTACAGATTTGTACTTCCTTTTCTAGTTCTGCAATTTTAACACCTTTTGCTAATTTTCTGTGTGGTGAGGGAGGTTTTTTGGTGGCACCTCCTGAATTAAGGCAAGAGTCTGAAGACAAGCCCTAATGTTAAAAGCTTGACTCCACCTGTTCTGTTGCCCAGGCCTTGCGCAGGTTGCAGAAGGGCAGCAAGTTGTGCGTCAGCTGCGCCGGCTGCCCTGGCCCTGGGCTCTCCATGGGAAAGGCGAGGCTGCCATGTCCTTTTCCACACAGAAGCAGATACCTCACCTACCTCACATTTGTTGCAGGATGCTGCGGGTTAAAAGGGTTTCTGCAGGTAGATGTTGTGGTGAAATCGATTTATAGGCATTTTTTCATGTAGCAAAGCCTTTTGTATAGTAAGGCTATTAAAGTTTTCAGTATTATTCAATGAATAATATACAATTTGCCTATGCAAGAATAAACTTCAGGTCCCTCAATATATTGTTAAGTTTGAGGGTGGTATCTGTCAACAGCTGTGAAACTGCTCAAGATGACAGAGTGGTTTGTGTTAGCTGTTGTTTTTGGTTTCAAAGGTTATCTTTCTGAGTAAAAATAGTATTTGAGTATTTTTCTTTCAGATATTAAAGTTGTGCTTTCACTTGAGTGTTCTTTTTGTGGAGGTTGCTCTTGAAGATTTTTATGAGGAAAAACTAGAGGAAACGGCTGGATTTTGTTGCAGTAGTAGAATGCTTTCTGATATTCCAAGTTTCAGAGAATGTTACGATACCAAGTTACCTACCATTAAGCATTATGTAAAAATAGCTACTTCAACAGGAATATTTAATTTTTAGTATGACTGTTTAAAGCAGTTCTTTGGAAAATATTGGAAACCTGTCCAGCTGTGGTAACTTCAAACTCTGCTTTTTAATTCACTGGCTCCAACAGCAGCCGTTTCTGACGTTCCATCATAACCACACACATGAATCTAAATTCTGTATTTCTTTGTGTGTTGCCAGCACTGGGCCTGCACAGTGTAGGACTGAGTGGAAAAAAGAAGGAACTTAAAAACTACCTCAAAAAAAGTGTGGAGACACTGGAACTGGAACTTAGAATAAAGGTCCCAAGCTTAGCACCGTGGGTCGTGGAACTCTGGCCTCTGGGTCGTGACGGAGGCTGGAGGAGCCCAGGCCTGTGCCAGGGGGTTACTCGGGTGCCAGGTCGTACCGCGTGCCCTGGACGTGGCTGACTTGGCCAAGTGAAGTGTTTTGCTCCCGTGTCTTGCTTCAGCCGGTTCAGGTGGACAAATGAGACTTCCCTGACTGTAGCCACGGTGGGGACCCGCTGCAGGTGGGACCAAGGTGCATCAGGTTTCTGTCTTGTGATCGTTGCGTACTATTACCATTTTGAAATATATTCTTGTACATACTTGTCATGTAAATGAGCCCATTCATAAAATGTTAAACTATAGATGATTTATGGAATTATGACATGCCATGAGAATTTGCTGAGAATCTTAACACTATTCATGGTATAAAAGCCGATTGAAACAAATAACTGCTTATCTGAGTATTTAATGAGTGAGAGATCAATAATCAGTGAACAAGGTATTTTGTCATCTTTCTGTGTGGTGCATATACTTATTTTATTTAAAAATAATTACAAATATCTGCATGATCATTTTTGTATATACAGGTCTTTGTAGAATTTTCTGATTCTGCTGTCAAGACATGCTTTTAAGAGTCCTAAATATCCAGTAATATTTATTTTTACTATGACAAGAAGGGAGAGCTGGAAATTTAAATATGACTTCGTGCAACTTTGCTGAGAACCTTTTATTATTTACGTTTTCATTGATGCTGTAGTATAACAAAGCTGGAGTATATTCTTCCTTTTGTATGACAAAATTGTTTACTTCCACACACTGCTTAAAAGTAATGAGGTTGAATAATTAATTTAGTCAAGTTAGAATTCTGGACTTTGGCAATGATGGTAATCTGGGAGGGATGAGCTTCGAAAGACTTTTGTATCCCAGGTAGAGTTTGTAAGGAAATTGATTTAAAAACTGTATTTTTACCTGCCTAACCCATTTTAAAAGAAATTTTAGCCATAATGTCAATGCTTGATACTTTGAGAACGTGTAAGAGAGAAATTAGCCAGAAGCTGATTGCGGTGGCTTTAATGGCTATATTCTTTAAATATATGAATGTTTTTTAGTGTAGAATGTGGGAGGGTCTGCTTGTTTTGGTTTTTTAAAGATATTTTTTTTGAGGCATATTGATGCAGTTATTAGTTGTTTTCTGGAAACCTGAGCTGGAGTTTCAGATGTCCAGTGTAGGTGCTTTGTATGTCTGAATGAGCAGCTTGATGTTGAGACATGGGAATATCCCTTCTAATTTAGTAAGATTGTTTACGAGTTTTAAACATATATTTACCATAACTTTTCATCACTTTCTACTTGGTTTTTGGGTAGCAGTGCACGTGATTTTTGTGGTTAAGGTAGTTATGTTTATGGGATTTAGGTCTTAATCCAGCAGCATGATGGTGATAATCCAGTCTCTTCTTTATGATATTAGAAAGATGAGGCTAATTATTACTTGTGTTTTGGAGAAAGCTTTTGCCTTCATGCCTCTTGTGGAAGTGGATATGAAGCACAATCAAGAAACTGAATGACCTCAGTTTCTGTTAGCTACAGTGGGGAAAGAGGGCAGCGCCGGGCTTTGGACAGAGTAAGGTTTATTTTTTAAATAAAAGTCTTAATGCTCTTAAATAGTCTTAAGTAAAGCAGGAGGTATTTTAACTGAAATGAAATATCAACTGTTTTTTCAAGTATGAGCTACCTTTGCCAAAACAGGTATTTTCCATTGGATAAAGAAACACAGATTGAAATTCACTATAAGAAAATAATTTATATAGTACACAGTACAGATGTGCTTGAAGATCTTTTGAGTTAATGCGTTTATTAAATATTTACAAAAATGTATAGAAGTATAACGTAGTGGGTTTGAGGGAGAACAGACACAATACCTGGCAGAGAAATCTGCCAGGATGTTATTATAAGTACGTGGCATCACGCTGGCTGGAGAGAGCTGGGCTGGCTCTAAGGAGTAAAGCAGCGTCTCAAGTCGTGTGCATCTGGTCATATGGTCCTTTTCTTGGATTGATTAGTCTTTCCCCTCAGAACTTGTGGTGGTCTTGATGCTTTATTCTTCGGGAGGTAACGGGGCGTGTCTCTCCGTAGCGTTCCGGTGTGCTGTGTACAGGTAACTGCTTACAGGGCAGGGCAGATTAGAAAATTTTGTGTCGTGTTTGTTGAACGTTGCAGGTATGTTCATAACCTCTTTCCATTTTGCAACAAATCAGGTGAGGAGCCAGGAGGGGTAGCCAAGAAAAGAACTAAAGTCAAAGGTATTTTCAATGTTTGTTTTTTTGTTTTTTTTTTTTTTTTCTTGTGGAACTTTCTGCAGATAACGATGTCTGAAATGCATGCGCATTGCAAGTACAGACTGCAGGTCATAATCGTGTTTACTAATACTAGCTGCGTTGGCTAAGTGTTGTCTAATGTGTGGCAAACCGTTATCCCCCCCATTTTTCAGAAGTTGGGGATTTTTTACTACCAATTTTAATTTAGCGGCCATGCGAGTGCTTTCCTAGCTAGAGAGTGTATTTCATTTGTACACATTTTTTTACGACAGTTGTCTTGTCTGGATTATAAGCAGTTTATGACAACTTGATATTCTGGATGTTTAAGAACAAGGTCTGATGCATATGCAGATTTTGCTCTGTGTGAAATCCTCCTTTAGTTATCTTTCAAGACCTCATGATAGCATTACTATATCGTAATTGGACTCGAGCATGTAAATTTCTTCTGAAGTCTGTACTTAAGTAGTTTCATCAGTTTCTTTCTTACGGGAGGATAAATTGAGGTAAAGTTCAATAACTTCCCATTTAATATTATTCGCATGAGTGATTGCAGTGATGATACTTAGAAATTTTCCAAAAGCTTAACGTAGGATAGCTTGCAGCCAGTTATTTATTCATAATTCCATTGCCGTATGAACAGGACATAATGGTCTGAACGTGTTCAGTGCAGCAGAGGGATGACAAAAGCTAATTAGGCTCAGCAGAAGTACCAGATGTACTTCAGGGGCTCAGCTTCTTACACGTGCTCAGTGATCCCCACTCAGCGTGGCGCTCTGTAAAGAACAGTCCCTTTGTTGCAGTAAGGACACTGAGACTCCAGCGGGTTTTTTCCAGCGGTGTGTGAAAAATGCACGCTGCTGGTAATGCCACGTGTCGGTAGGGAAACGGCGCGTTTGCCGAGGGAAGCTCTGCTGCTCACAGGAATGTGACTTTTCTTTGCATCTTGCATGGAAGTGGGAATTTTTAGCGTTTGTTCCATGTTGTGCTTGGCTTGACGTGGTTGAAAATTGTGTGTCTCCAAGAATGTAATAAATGTCATTTAACAGCTCATTGCTGAGCTCGGGAATGTTTTCAGTGTTTGGTATGAGAGTGAAGAAACGGTACAATATATTTCAAATGCTTTATGCTGAAAAACAGTTGGAAGGAAACATGATGTAACTCCTTTTAGAGCGAGCTGTGTGGTTGCATGGCTCACTCCACAGTGGTGTTGCACCATGCTTAGAGGCAGATGTTACAGGAGGGATGTTGTCCCTTGCCTGCATTTTCCTGAACAGACTGCAGTTTCTCTCAGAAGTCTGACTAAAAATGGAGCTGTTGTGTTTTATATAGAAAGCCTTTATTGCTTTTTAAATAATGTGCGAGTTTTAATTTTAAAACTAAATACAATACAGAGATTTAATGGAAAAATTTGTAAATTTTACTGAGTTAATAATTCTTTGTTCTGGAGAATGCTGCCAGTACTGACAGGTTTTTTCGAGACTGTGGGCAAAGTGGAAGTAAACACTGAACATTTACCTTTCAAGGATGCTGTTCTGACCTTGTCATGTGTTATCTAGATACCACGTTACAGCCAAATGTGAATGGAAATAAGCACAAGAGCTACAACTCCAGAAGTAAAAAACCCAAGAAAATGTTATTAGTAGCACTACATATGAAGAAGCAAAGCTTGGAAGAATTAATTTACAATTGTTACCTTGTTTTCACTGCATATGGTCGAACCAAGTTAACTTTTTTGAAGTTGGTTTAATTCGCCAGGACATTGCAGTTTCTTCTCAATTACTGTGTACTTGGTTTTGTAAAACACCTACTTCAGATACTGATTTAAGCATTGGCTTAATCTGAGGTACCAATCAGTAAAATGTGGTAGTTGCAACACTTCCATTTGTAGTTTTAGAAAGTTGAGAAGAATGGGAAAAACACGTCTGTTGGTGATGCTCTTGCGTTTGCAGATCCTACAGTTGGCACGCTGCTGCCCGAGACTCGAAAAGCGTTGTGATTCACTGCTCACAGGCAAGGCTGGCTTAGCATTCTGCAGAAGTTAGGTCGCAGTAAGCTGCTGGGGGCTTGGTTTTCCTGAGATTACGGCTTCCTTGGGATGCTGCTGCAGCAGGCTGAGGGGACTGGCTGGCTGCATGGTGTGAGGTACTGCTGAAAGCCCAAACTAATTTGTTTCAATTGCTTGAAGCTTTGATAGTTAATTACATCAGTTTAAATTGGCATCTAACATTAAGTAAGAATTTGTTCAAAGCTTTTAGATAGCTGTTCGTAAGATGTTTCCTGATCTAAGAATAGTTCTCTTACTGAACATTTCCTCTTTTTTAAATGAAAAACTAAAAAGTAAAAGAAGCTATTAAAGAACCGCTCAGGAAATTAAGGGAGAAGCAGGAATCCAAGAAGGAGGAGATCAAAGATGAGGAAGAAAAAAAGAAAGCCAGGAAAGGAAAAGATGCTACTGACCGAAAGGACAAGAAAGCTGTTGATATGAATAAATTAAAGAAAGATTCAGACAAGGCGAAAAGAGTCAGAGGAAAGGAAAAAGGCGTAGACAAAAATGTAAAATCCAAGGAGACTACAAAAAAACCAGCCAGTGAAAAGGATGGTACTATTCAGGTGGGTAAAGACAAAGAAACCAAAAAGGTAGTTAAAAACCCATCCAAGGAAGACAAGAAAGAAAAGAAATGAATAGAGTTCTGGTGCTGCTAATGAGGAATAGACCTCGAGAGTGAGAAACTCAGCTTGTTTAATGAATGTGCTAAACACGGCAATAAAACGATAATGTTTTCTGGAAATAAGTGTGAACAAAGGCTATATATAATAATTCTTTGGAAACTGCTGAGCGTGTGCTGGCATTGTAAACAGAAAGCAAAAACGTCTGCTGTGACACTGGGGTATGTACATGTAAGTGTGCCTGGCTGACCCTGTGGGCTGAACACGGCCATGTCGGGTGATGCCAGTTGCTTCAAGCATACTCTGAATCGGTTTGTTGGGTTTGGGGTTTTTTTTCCTCCTTTCTTTGTTTCTGTGTATTAAAATGCTATTTTCTTGATGTGGGGATGAAAGTGTAATGCTGTATATGAGATGCGAGTTTAAAAGCAATATTAAGAGGTTTGCCTGGACACACAAGGTGGAAACACACAAAATCTTGCTGTTTCACAAAAATAGCTGAGAGGAGCGTTAATGGGGTGTATTGTCATGGGAACCCAGCAAATAAATGTGAATTATTCCCTACTAAACTTTTTTCCCCTAACTAGACTGAGAAAACTATTTTATACACAAACACTCAACTCTGGTTTAGTGTTGTGTTTGTTTATGAGACTTGGGTGAATACTCAGCCAAAACCTTGCAGCACTTTTGTTGGTTGATCCTGTGACAATCTGTTCTGCTTTTCTTCCTTCCTTTTTCCCTTCCTTCTGTCCTTTATTTATTTGTTTATTAGCTATCTTCAGGGCTGAAAACTTGATTCATTGTCACTTTTCAGTTAACTGTGTCCTGATTTTTCTGAGTTTTCCAAGCTTCTGGTCATGAACACTCCTGAAATTCAGGCCACCTATTTCCCCGTTGGTGGGTGGTGTTGGATTCCAGTGATATGCTACCACCGCCGTGTTCTGGTTGAACTTGATTAGAGAACAGCTTATGTATTTTTGCCGCTATTATTTTCTTCAAACACCACTTCTCAAGTACATGACGCGTCTGTAAGTGATCTCCTGTGTTAGTTTGCTCTTACGGCTTCTGTACTTTTAGCACCGAGGAATGATTTATCCAGGTGTCTCATTGGAATAAACAAAATTACAAAACATCTCTGCAGAGGTATTTCCATATGTTATTGACTCTGTACTTGCTTTCAAGTTTATATGGGAAAGGAATATTTTCAAATTTTACTAGGTAAATAATATCACTTAGTATATTGAAGTGTTAATTGCACAATAAAATTACACAAGATTCAGAACAAAATTTGTAGTGAAAGTTGAAGATTTGTTATTGTTATACTGCAGTATTATTTTAAAGAAAAACAAAGCTAAGGAGTGAAATTGAGCATTAGTATATGCAGGTGGGTGGTGGTGTAAGATTGGAGTCCTGAAGGTTGGTTCTGTTCATGGCTTTGCTTAAATTTTGTGTATAACAGCTGGCAATACACTGATCTCAGCCTGGCGGTACAGCACATACATGTCTTTGTAAGAGGCTTTGATCCCTACAGGTGTAAGATGTGGTAAAATATCTGATTATTTTTTCTAGAGGAAATTTATGAAAAATAGTTCAAATGAAAGCTGTAGAAAATAGTACAGTAGCTCAAGATTCTGGCTGTGATAATTAACAGAGGTGATATACTGAGCTGTTTCCTAAATATTCATGTGAAGACGGAGGGAAAAGACATGTGTTACAAACATTATAGTGCTCGGCAAAAAACGTGACAGAATGACGATCTAATAAATGCACGTGCACAATGAGCATTCTCTGCTGGGTGTCGGTGGTGGTAGACATGTTTATTCATCTTTGCTCTGATAGGTGTGAAGGTACATGCTCGACAGAGGAGCACTCAAATCACACTTCTCAAACGGTGGCACAGGGGTATTGTGCACATCAATTTTTATTTTCCTCCCTAATGTGACAGAAGTTGTAACTGTCCGGGAGTGAAGTTTGGGATGAGTTGCCTTTCTGATTAACATGTTATTGTATCTGTGACCCAAAGTTCATCTAGTTCTAAAAAAGTTTGTGGTTTCTTTTTTCCCAAGGAATGTTTTATTTGTGCAGCACTCCAGGCTGTACAGATAGCCACACAATAAAATGAGATTTTTTTCCCCAGTGATCTGTTGTGCTGTTGTATATCTGTGCGATATTAGTGTCGTTCAGCTTAACGTGGCAAGTTACCACATAAGCTCAAAAAGTGTCTCACGAGTAAAAACTGCGTGCAACTTTATTTTAATAATAAGCATGAGATAAAATAGGATCTTGCAAAAAGTAAATGACTTAACGTATTACATACTCGACAGGGTCAGTGCTAAACACATGCCTAAAAGCCTGACAGCAAAGCTGAGCAGCGCGCCGGCACACCACCGGGCTCGTGGCTGGGAGCTGTGGGCGCGCGTGGGGGGCTTGAGTCCGCGCGTGGTTCGTGAGGCAGGGCCAGTGGTTATCCGGAGGTGGAGCTGTGGGTTATCGGAGGGCGCAAGGGCTGGCGCAGGGAGGGCTGCAGGTGAGGGTGCGAGCTGGGTGTGCGAGAGCGGGTTGGTGCGTCTGCGCTGCCAGGCACTGCGGTGCGACGGCGGTGGATGGAAGGAGCGGGCTTGTCTCCACGGGCAGTTAAAGGTGACCATAGCAGGAAGTAACTTCTTGCTCTCGTAGCCATTAACATTACTGCAGGAAAAGATGAGTGTTAGTCTTAATAATATTTTTTAGTATTTCAGGTGTTTTTTAATGACCCAGAAGAAAACTGGCAAAAAATGAAGCGTGAATTTGGCTTTTTTCTTCTAGCTTCTGCCCTTGACTCCACAGTAGCGGACTCCTAGCTGCAGTACTTATAGATACGGCCTTGTATACTTACCTTCTTCTAATTTAGATAATATAAAAAGGTGTAAGTAGAATGAATTATGTTATTCCTGTTCCCATCACTGACATAGGGTAATGGAATAAATACATGTTTTTCTCACAATACATAAAATAATAAAATCTCCCTAGTTTACACAAAGTTATTTTCAGGTGTACAAGTCCTATTTGTATTGAGATATGTTTGACTCCAGTAGTTTTTTTAAAAACTTTATTGGCTTGAAATACACTACTTACATTGTTCACTTGAAGTTACTTTTACAAGATTGATAGCAGTGCAGGAGTGTTATAGTGTAGCTTCTGCTTTCTTAAATATTATTTTTCTGTTGATTTCCGTGCGTACAGCTCTTGAGAAACTAGTTTGTTTTGGGCAGTGTGCGTGTGTGTATTTAAGAAGGTAGTTTTATCTAAATCCATCATACTTAAATATGAACCTGGGAAGAAATGGTGTAGGACTATAGGAGAATTCCATTTGGAAGGGATTTCAGGAGATCCTTGTTCTCCAAACAGGGCTGTCTCAGCGGGGTGCCCAGGTGACACTGGCCATTACCCAGCGTGGTCTGTACAGCCCCCAAGAGGGCAAGGCCCAACGTCTCTGCATGGCCTGTTCCACAGGTGTCACTGCCCTCATGGCAGTTGGGGGTCTAAGTTTTCTCTGAAAACTGTTCTGAACCTCTCTTGTGTAAGTCTTGCTTGACTCATTCCTGGAGGATGGACGGGAGGAGAATAAGGCTAATACCAGTACATTCCTTCTTTGGGATGTGGTGTCTTAAGATGTGGCGTAATCTTCAGGGCTGTGAATTATCTTTCTCTTTTGCCATGGTGTGAGCATTCCTGTTACTGGCTGCTTCCTTTTCATTGTGTTTTGATGCAGAAGGACTGTGTTACAAGTATTAAGCATCTTGGTGGTGAAATTCCATCAGTCATGCTTTTTCTGTAGTAATTTAGTTGTCAAAAGGAACTGGAGATTTAGATTACTTCATCTTGAAGAAGCTACAGTTCTCTTCATCAGATCTTCTGAGATTTAACATAGGAATCTAAAATACCTCTTCTCATTCTGCACAGGATTTTGTACAGTTCGAATTAGTTTTTCATAAAACTGTAAAATTGACTATATGAAGCACTTTTTGCCCAAAGAAGAAACAGTGAGAAAAACCCACTGCCTATTTTTCTTTTGGATGCTGAAAGGTGTTGAGAATAGCATAGTCATTTGTTCAGTTACTTTGAAATAAAGGCAAGTGCTTACTTACTTCTGTCCTTTTTTTCCCCTCATTATGTGTTTGTCTTCAGAATACATTTGTTTGCTCTCTGAATACACTTCTTCAGTCTGTGTCTTATGTCACTGTATTTCAGGACAGCCCTGTGATGGTGATTAATTGTTTGAATACGTTTTGAAGAGTTTAACGTTAGTTAATTTAATTGAAACAACTTTCTTAGTTTGTAATTGAATCAGATCAAAAAGAGCATAAAGTTAACTTTATAACTGAAAAATGCAGGCCTTAAAGAAAGATCTGTCCCAGCACAGCCAACACCACCAGAACCTGAGGAGCCCGCCCAGCCTGCTGAGGAGTCGCGTGGGGAATCAGGTATGGCCTGTCCTCAACCGTGGGTGAGACAAAAGAGGGGGTGCTTCATTTGAATGAGAATTCCATTTCCTTAGCATGCAAATCATTGTGGTATTTCTTTGGGTAGAAAAGAAATCGTCCATTTTATGTGTTGCGTATGCACTACAGTTTATTTAACAGGAATTGCTGCTGGTAACTCTCTATTAAATCACTGACCATGGAAAGTTTATCATTTAAATGCACAGAAGGCACTCTTGTCGGCTCTCGTGGTTACCATTGGCACCACGTCGCATCAGAATAACTTCCTGCTGGTTTACAGTTGTGGTTTTGATAAGTATGCAACAGTATACCCAGTTAGAGTAACGGCAGATTCTCCACCTTAAAAAACCAACCAACCAAACAACCCCCCACCCCAAAGAAAACAAACTCCCAGAAACCAAAAAACCCAAACAGAAACTCCCAACAACCAACTTCATAATTAATCAAATATTCACTATTCCACTAAAGCAAATAGTATATCATAAATACAATACATACAGCTTCTCCTGTTGAAAAAAAAAATCATTTAAACATTTT